AACGCATGCACTTTCCTTTGAAGTCTTTCTTTCAAAAGATTTTCTAATTGAAATTTTAGTTTTCCTGGAGCTTTACGTGCTGTTTGAAACTCGCCACATTTCTCTTCTTTAACAACTCTGTAAATCGTAGATTTCCCAACACCAAGCGTACTACTAACTAATTCCACTGTGTCATCAACACTTTTACATAAATGTTTGTCTGTAAATGATTTAAAACAATTAAATATTAATGTTTTTTCATTAACTGTTAAAGGACCGATTTTTTGTCGTTTACGCGGCCCTTCCAAATTTTCCATGATCACACTAGAATTCACACTGCACCTTGCAAGTTGCAACTAAACGACATTTAGTAAACTGTCAAGAATACACAACTTGGACCTCCTTACTAAATGGAAAACCTATAATCGCATTTTCGGTGAAATTTGTTGGGAAGGTATTTATGTACTTATAATTCGATTACTGTAAGAAATTCTTGGAATTAAAATAAAACAAAATTGGCAAATAGGTACTTATTGAAAATAATCTTAAGATACGGCTATGTAATCTTTAATACACAGGGCTTTTGGCCTGTCCAAACCTTTTTCTATTGTTCTGTACAGCTTATGTTTATAAAGGACCAATAAAATACTCAAAACTTGTAATAGCTCAGGTACATTTATTACAATTTTAGGAAATATTTAGATTATTCTGTAAAAATATTTAAAATGACCGTGCTAAGTTTTGCATTAGAAATGCTGTTTTATTACTCTCTCATACATAAAACTAGACTATAGGTACATACTATTATTTTTAAAATTTTAAACGTGCCATTTCTGTCAAACTAATTGACAGTATTTATTTTAGTTATTGCGATTAAATATACATTAAAATTAAAAAGAATAATTTTATATAAATAAAAAGTTCATTGGTTTATTAGATCGTTTTTATTGTTTTTATAAAATTTAAGTATTGACATTATATATGTTTCGAAAACTTTTCCATCTTCTGATGCCAGTCAATATTTAATAAAATATGAGGACGAATACAAACATTTTTGTAATCATTATTAGGGATGTTGCGATACCAGTAAAGTTCGATACCGGCATCGAAAAGACTATCGGAACCAAAGTATCGATACCGGTATCGAAAGGGTATCGGAATCAAAGAATCGATAGAAATCAAAGTATCGATAACGATATTGGAAGAGTGCAGAACAACCAAAAAAAAAATGGTCATAGGGTCATAGGGTAAGCCGACATACTATACCATAAAGTGTTCCTACAATACACTTTTTGTATGTATTGTAATGTCAAAACTAGTAAAATATTGAAACGGAAGTAGTAGTATCGAAATAAAAGTAGTATCGATATGGGTAAAGTATCGAAAACAAAGTATCGGGTACTAAATTACCCGGTATCGAAAGAAAAGTATCGATACTAGTATCATATCAGTTATTGCAACATTCCTGGGGTGCTATTTTCAAAGTCGAGAGAATTCATTTCTCTCGAGAGAAATGTCATACGTCAACGTAAAACAGTATTTTTAGGGTAATAAGGGCCAGTGTAAACTCACTGATTGTTTCTCACGGTTTATTTAGAGATAATTAATATCCTCCTAAGAATTTTAATCCTCGAAGCCTTTAAAAACAGCGTTTCCACATTGACGTATGACATTTCTGATGAGAATCTTGAGAGAAATGAGTACTCACACGGTTTGAAAATAGGTCCCCTGATCATTATTATCAGAATGATCTCTAAGCTAATTTGAATGTAAGCTGTTTATCTCTAATAAAATAAAACCAAAAAAATATTATGAAATCTAGGCTAGAGAGAATCATATTATAACGCCAGTGAATATTTTTTGGAAATTCAATTAGAATTTTCACGCCCAATGTAAAACAAAATACATAAGGCATGACAAACATTTGGCTCTTATTCCTTGGTTTAGCCGAAAATAACATCTGTTTAACTTTGAAGTTGATAGTTTTGGTACGCCTAGTTGAATAGTATAATTATTAAGTAGTTAATAGAACGAAATTATACACAGTGGAAAGTTTAACTGGAACAAATTCAGTAACCTAATAAATACAGGTTTGTCGCAAAATTCCTGAAACTTATCAATTTTTATTTTCAATGGGCTTATTAGAAAGTTGTTTATTTTTAAAATTATCTGGGGGGTTGCAACAATCTCTAATTTTTTATTTTAAACCTTTGTCATTTGCAAATACAACTAAGTAAATTTTTGTTACTTTTTATTAGCAATGTGTTGAAAAAAATAAAATAAAGAAATTTTAGTAAAACTACTTTAATGTATCCCTTTATTAAGTTACGGAAACGAGAACCATACACATTCCATACATATTTACAACATGAACTTAAAAACTTAACCCTTTACTGAATGAATTTTAGAAAATCGCAAAAAAAATTTAAAAATTCAGCTGATCTGACCCTACTTTTAAACAGAGAAAATTGTTTAAAAAATTCTGATTACATTTTTGTCAAAATTAAAATAAAAAAAAAATGTTATCAAATATGCTTCGAGGGAAAATAAATATTGGACTAAAAACTCAACAAAGTACTACTTAAAATTTATTTATGTTTCAAATAACACTGCGAAATAATCTCTCAGTTTTCAAGATGGAACTCAAAAAAACAGTTTCTCTTTTTGATTATACAAAAATTCAGTCTAAATTTCTTGCAGATAACATTGGTCAATGCTTTACAGCTATCATATTTGCATCTTCAAATTGTGGCTAATGCTCAAATCCATCAGTACGAACAATTGTTGTTGGTCTAGAGGCAGCAGATCTTCTTCTAATTTGTGCGCTGGCAGGTCGACCACGTCTGGGAGTGTCACTCCTTCCAATTTTACACAGGGAATATGCTGAATCTATTTGAAATTGTTTCTGAGTCATTGTTGTTTTGCCGTTTATGATGTTTATTCTGTTAAAAAGAACCCAAGCATTAACAACGCACAAATCAAGAAAATGGTAAAATAAGCGAAAATGCCGTTTTTTAGTTTTCATAGTTATTTTGTGTCTCCCAATGTGAGCATCCATCAAATCTACACCACCCATGTGTCTGTTGTAGTTTTTGATAATTTTTGGACAGGGAATGTTCACATATTGTTTTTCATTTCGGACATATCTGCGTATTGTGTCAATGGGTTCCACACCACATAAATTGGATGCCAAACACACAAGACTGTTATCGTTCCAATGAACAAGAGAAATTTGACAACCATCATATTCTGTTACAAATTCTTCTACCTTGCACTTTTTTGCATACTTTTGTCATCAGTAACGGGGTTGTTTGGGATGCGATCTTCTCGTATTGTCCCCAATGCAAAAATATCCTTCTTTATCTCAGCCATGAGGGGTAGGGAGGTATAATAATTGTCAAAATATACGGTATATCAACAATTTTCTGGGATACCCCTAATCAAACGAATAACAATATTAGGGTTTGCTCCTATATCTGTCTTTTCATCAATAATTACGTTTTCTTGTCCTGAGTAGATTTCAAACTTGTAAGCGAAACCCATCATTATCACAAAAAACAAATAATTTGTAGCCCCATTTTTTGGGTTTTTGAGGATTGTATTGTCACAGTGGCGGCTCGTGGGCACTAGCGGCAGTGGGGCACACACTGGAAAGGAATCCAGGGATTCGTTTTTCCCTTAGGAAAACAAGTACAACACAATGAAATTCTTACACAAGCCAATAAATGTCAGTAGTAGTATTATAAATGCGATGTCAAAGACTTAGAGCAGTCTTAAGGTCAGAGATTAGGGACTATTAGGGCCATATGCGATGTGTCATATACTTAGACTTTGCCTAGTCCAAGATCATATACGATACGCGATGCAGTTAAGGGTTAATTTAAAAAGCAAGTTTTTAATGCTTTAAGAAGCTCATGCTTGTTTTAATTTAATTTTTTACCTCTGTGCCCTCGGTCTGTACTGTGCCAGTAGGCATGAAGGAATACTTTAGGTTCTCATTAAGAGTCATCTTCCAACCGATCCTTTACTTAAAATTATCAGGGGGTTGCGGGCCGTTGCAAGTTTCGCATTTGACGAAGGCGGGTAAATAGATTGTTTATCTATTAGTTTTGTTGTTAATAAATTTCAGTGCGAAGGGCGCCACATTACGGTTAGAAAAATGTTATTTGCAGAGGGTCAGGCCGTGCGCGATTAATTACTTATTTTTTGACTTTTTTGAAGAAAGAACATTTTAAGTCAAAGTTAAAGATTTGCAGCAGGGATATATAGAATTAGATTTTCCAAATTATTTCTTATAACGACATGATTAGCGCCTTAAAATACGTAATATTGTCATCTTTTTCTATCTTGAATAATAGCAATCTTAAAAAAAATTAATCATTTTGTTCTTGTACATCCCTAGAAATACGTTTTCTTTCATCTCCTACACAAGCAGATTTAAGTAATTTTGAAAAATGAAGTTGTAATTGCGCACGAGCCTAACCGCTTTTTTGGCTTAAAAATTCAGGCGGAGGATGGCCCTTAAAGTGTTCTTATGCTGGTACGAGAGATACTCGAATTTATTTATTTAGTGTTGTCAGTCTAGTACAATTGTACTAGATCTAGTACATTTTAAGAATCTGGTACTCTGGTACACTCGAAGCAAAACCTATTTGACGGGTAAAATATATTGTTGGGTTCTTCTTTATTTGTGTTTGTTTTGGATAAAATGTGTTTTTGGTCTTCAATGAACCAAACCATCACAATTTGAAGAATATGGTACAATTTATAGAATCTGGTACATTTTTATGGAATCTGGTACATTTCTCGTACAAATCTGGTACATAACAAAAATATATTCTGGCAACACTGCTACTGCCGCTCGGTCCGATAAGTAGATTACGAAAAAAAGAAACGATGTCGCCTATTGAAGGCATGTTGTTGGTTTGGCGTTTGGAGAGCGACTCGCTGTAATAAGCTAGGTGTGATGTCATTTTGGTTCCACTGACAATTAATTATTACCAAACCCCAGTATACAGGAACAAGATCTTAAGATTAAAGTATCATTTTGGAAATCTTAATTTTTCTGAAATTTCTAATATCTCTAATCCTTAATATGGAGACGTCTTTATACTCAATAAAAATAAGAAATAGTTAAACGTCTTTCTCCCTTTAAATGTAGTATTACCTTTACTCCGAGAGTATTACTGACATGCAGTTTTCTTCCATCGGTTCCTGCCATTAAAAACTATTGTCAATTAATATTGATCTGTCATATTCCTTATTCTTTGTAAATTAAGTTCAAAATGATGGAAAAAAGTGAGTAAACATTCTACTTGTAAATTTTAAACCAACATTTTTAAAATTTTAGCGAGCAAAGACGACGAGGAAGGCTACAAATGGGCCCTAAAACAGTATATCATGAAAGGCGATGGTGATGATGAAGAATGGAAAAAACGAAGAGCTAATCCACTGACTGAAATGTCACAGAGAGCACGACGTACTCAAACTGATTTAATTCACGATGTTCATATAAGAATCATGGCTTCTCTTGTGCCAGATGAGATTATTTATAATATTGGAGATTATTCTAAGAGAGAATTGGAAGCTTGTTTGCTTTTTGGTGATGTTTCTGGTACTACGAACTTTTATTTTAAAAGCCATTTTTAACTATATCTGAAGCGTTATTAACTTGCAAGATGTGAATAATTTTTCTTAAACAATAATGAACTATCAACTATTTTCCTATTTTTATAATATTAAATATTGAAACTTACAGCTCGTTAACTAATATAACAAATAACTTATCATACGTGATTCAAATAGGGAACATTTTATTAAAAAAAAAATAGATGAATTTAGTAAAGTGTATTCCTGTTATATGTTGGAACTTGTTATATTATAAAAAAAACAATAAAAGATACACCAAATAAATACATGGGTGATGAGAAAAAAAAAATACAAATAATAAAATGTATGCGTTATAAAGAGGCAGACATGATTTTTCCATTAGCAAGTTAATGAAACCCCAAAGAGTTCTGGTCAACAATAAAAAAATTTAGGTATGTTAAAAATCTCACCAAAGAGATATGGGATATCCTCCTAGAATTTTAAATACCTCTAAGTTTTCCGATGCTTTGCGTTCTTATTCCTTACCTTAACATCCACAGAGGAATGTTATAGTACTAAATAATAAATCTCCTAGTACTAAAAAAACTTCCTTAATAATTGAATACTATATATTGGGTGTATCTTATAGTGGTATCCGAAGTTTTTTTTAAATAATTTGACAAACAGTAATTTTTTTGTGATAAATATTTTTTTATATTGAAATTAGATCCATTACAATTTATTTGGTCACTTTTTGAAGATGACATCGGCCAAGTGGCCACTTCTGGACGCCACACACAAATCGGCCCGTTTTTCGGCATTTTCCATTACTTTTTGTAGTGTTTTGGATTGAATGGCAGCGATTTCTCGGCGTATGTTGGCCTTAAGTTGTTGGAGAGTGGCTGATTTATTGGCATAAACCTTTCCCTTCAGGTATCCCCACAGGAAAAAGTCAGGTGCGGTCAAATCTGGTGAATGAGCCTGCCAGTCGAAATCGCCGTATTTCGATATCAATCGATTCGGGAACATGGCACGCAATAAATCCATTGTTAGACAGGCTGTATGGCATGTTGCACCATCTTGCTGGAACAAATAGTCGCCCATGTCATGTTCGTCCACCTCATTTGCCACAAAATGGCGTAACATGGCCCGATATCGCTCGCCATTGACTATTACCATGGCGCAGTCATCGTCTTCGAAAAAGTACGGGCCGATGACCCTTTCAGCACAAACACCGCACCAAACAGTGACTTTGGGGGAATGCAACGGCTCTTCGAAAATCATTTGAGGATTTTCAATGCCCCACAGCGTGAAATGTGCTTCATCGGTCATGATCAAACATCTCCAAAAATCAGGTTGACCGGCAAGGATGTCCTGCATATTGCGACCGTATTGGATGCGACGCTGCCTATCAGTTGGCAATAATTGTTGAGTGATCTGCATTTTGTAAGGAAAGGCGAGCAAATCCACCCTTAACAACCGCCACATGGACAGACATGCCAAACTGCCGAGCACGGTGTCGGACCGAAACTTGTTGACGCTCCGCGACGTCGGCACTTACGGCTGCTATTGCTTCCATACTTCGTCTGGTACGCGGCTTATTTCGACGGACAGAGGTTGCCAAAGATCCTGTGGCATTAAATTTTGCAACCAAAGCACGAATAGTCTTCGGGGTAGGCGCATTCTGGCCACGATACCTCGCTCTGAACGCGCGTTGAGTCAGCGTAACAGAGGACTTTTTTTTGAAAATAATTTTTTACAATTTCAGCACGTTGTTGTGGTGTAAGGTGGTTCATTGTTAAAATTGTACTGGACTGACGTTTCTAAAACATTAACAAACAAGTTTTATTTAACAAATATCACTAAGTATGCTCCACAGAAAAGGTTCTTTTGATGATTCTTTAAATTACCGGGGATCAGCATTAATTAACTAAAAGTTTCACACTTATTATTCTACACAGGTTGGCAATTTGGTCTGAAAATAGTAATACTCTGCCAGAATATAGAAGAATTATACTTTTTTTAGGGTTCACCGATCTATGCGAAAAATACAATAAATCTGGAAAGGGTGGTCCTTCGCGACTAACCCAGGTCTTAAATGCCTACATCGGTGCTATGGTACAAGAAATACTATCTCACAGTGGTGATGTCTTAAAATTTTCTGGAGACGCTTTTATAGCTATGTGGAAGGAAACGGATCATTTGTCTTTAAGGGATGCAGTTCACGAGGCCTTAGATTGTGCTTTGGTCATACAAAAGTCTTATGGGACTTATCAAACTGATGTTGATGTCATTGTACGAGGTAAACAAATATTTAATTGAAAGTTTGATCTGTTAGTTTTTCTATAAAGTATTTTGTTAAATTGACTGTCTCATAAATAGGGAAGGAAAAACTTCTAGATTCGCTTTCTATTGAAAGATAATAAAAAAGGCGTAGTTAACGTCGTATAATCTAGTTTTTGCTATATTTTTCCTAGTTATCTCGAAGATAAAACGGTTCAAAGCTTAGAGTAGGTATTAAAGAGAGGACTCATAACGCCGCTGAAAATCTTGTTCCATTCTGACACCAACGATATTCTACCAGAGGCGTAACATGTTGGAAATAAAAAGATGAACTTGTATTTATGTTATTAGCACTATTCCTATAGCGTGCTTTATTGATCTTTTTAAGTATAAAGAAAGTTCAAAGCGTAAAAATTAAAATAAATAAGTAACAACAAATAAGACACAAGAAAATAAATATATTGAAATAAACAAATTTTTTTACAAGAAGTTTTAGCGAAACAACTTTTTTTCATATCTTTTAAGTTTTTGTTTAAGAACTTTATCTTTATTCTCTTCTACCTGTTGTAAAAGTTGTCTTCTAAGTCGTTTTGTGCTAGGGCTTTCTAGGATAGATTCCTTATTTGCAGTTGCACTTGAAGGGCCTGGCTCAGCTTCCAAATGCAATACTCTTCTCTTTAAGTCCTGCAAACAATCAATTATTACGGTAATGTTTTGAACTATACACAAAAGGGTTGCTAAATTCTTAAAAGTGCATAACATAATAATGAAAAGTAATTAAAAATATATATGTTTAATTATGTTAATTAGTATACGCATCTTCTTCGGCTGGATGTATTTAGGGAATTCAGGAAATATAGTGTGAACCGCTGCATTTAGTAAACGTCTTTATATCATAAAAAAGTCTTTCAAAATGTTTTAAACACAATCTATCATTTGGGGTAGGCATCCAATTTGCAATTTTCGTTGCCTGAATCCAGATTTTTTTGCGATCCACAAGAAATCTAAAATAAAACAACAAATAAACATTGTTGCAATTACATAAAAAGCGTAAATTAGAATTTTATAAAAGTTAATATTTAGAATTGTACGACACGCCACTGGAAAAAATTACTTGGTGTGCAATTTTAATAGCATCAATTGCTTAAATAACAATAAAAAACATAAAATAAACAAACTTGGTGCGTAAAATTTATTACTCTGGAGTGAGACATGTACAATATGTAAATACCAAGTTGTATAATACCAAATAAAATAAAAAATATAAGAAAATATATAAGGTAAAGACGATTGATGTTTATCATTTATCTGTGCAACGTAATATCTGCTTCTTTCTTGCCGCTATAACTTTTACACTGATATGCCACACAATAAACCATTGTAACAAACCAATTATTAAATATCGTTTAATTTAAAAATAAGAAATAAACACGAACGAAAGCTTTGGTGTCACCGAAATGCTAAGCACCAAAATAATGGCGCTCACTAGATAATCGGCACAGAATACTACGTGTTCGATATACTTGTTACGCGTCCTCTCTTTATTACCTAGTCTAAGGTTCAAAGGAAAATCTTCTTTTTTTTTTAGTGAAGTTAGCAGTAGCTTGTGGTCACATTACCTTCTCCTTATTAGGCGATGAAGGAAATTCCCATTATCTAATGATTGGACAACCTGTATTAGACATTAAAACTGCCGAGTCTAAAAGTATTGCTGGCGAAATTGTCGTCAGTGCTAGAGTTTCCCACCACATTAGTGCTAACGAATATCTTATAGAATTGTTTCCGGATGGAATTCATGCAAAGGTATGTTCAATAAATCAAAAATTATTGATAGATCCATCCGTAAAATGTTAGTAATGGTCAGAGTTCAATTATTCGCAATAAAACTTCACAATTTACTAAACTGTTAAGTTATATACTCAGCAAGTTTTCAGTAATATTTTTAGTATGTTGAGGATAGCTGTATCTAATAAAAAATTGCTATTGTGTATCGGAAGAGTTTCGTAGCAATGAAGTTGAAGAAAGCGGACTGTTTTTAGATGAAATGAAACCTATCATTGGAAAATATCCTTGTATATATATTTACGTATTTACAACAGATATAATACAATTTTAGAGTCTAACAATCTAAATCTATAATAATCAGTGCCAGCTCGGGGTAATTTAAAATGGGTGTTCACTTTTTCCAATAATTTTATCATTTGTAAGTTTGTTTCAAAACCTTGTACAAGTGTAGTTATTATTATTATTAATATCATACTGTTTTCAAGCACTACAACTATTAATGAATGAATAAATGAATATTTTAGTTATTGTAATATTTGGTTTGTTTTTAATACGTTGAAAACCATCTATAAACATTATTAGTTAGTCAACTGACTTTTCTTCATATTTTGAGATTATTTTTAAATGTAAAAAGCTTGACATTGATTTTTGTTTAAAAAATATTATATGAAACTTTACCTACCATTTATTAGTTTTTATTATAAATTTAATCATTTTCATAATTTGTCACACATGTTAAATAAAATAATATATTTTTAAATACCCTTTATTGGCAAAAAATAAGTGAACTAAAGTGTGTATTTTATAAGATCAGTTCCATCACCATACATAATATTACACAGATACAAACTAGAATGAAGACATATAATGCCTGGTATTCTAAATTATAATTTTCACTGTTTAACAGACCCCCTTAACCCCCATTTTCAATCAGATTATATCCCCTTGTAGAGCTTGATTTTTTTCAAAAATTTCAAGTTGATAATATTGTTTGTTTTTGAGTTTTATTTTATTTTAAATACTTCAACTCCCCTTAAGCCCCCCCACTTTTATTCAATTTTTTTTCACAATCAATAGGCCTCATCTCCTTATAGAGCTTGATTTCTACTAAAAATTTCATGTTTGATTTATGATTCTTTTTTAATTTTAACCCCCCTTAAACCCCCATTTTTAGTTGGATTTGTTTTTTCAAAATTAAAGGGCTTCTTCTTATAGAGCTTGATTTTTGCTAAAAATTTAAAGTTAATATCATTTTTCGTTTTTGAGTTAAGATTTTTTTATATTTTAACCCTCCCTAACTCCCCTATTTATTAGGATTTTCTTCAAAATCAATAGGCTTTATCTCTTCTTATAGAGTTTAATTTTTACTAAACATGTCATGTTGATTTTTCGTTTTTAATTTAGGTTTTTTTTTTTTAATTTCCACCCAGATTTTTTCATAAACAATAGGCTTTGTCCCCTTATAGAGCTTGGCTTTTGCTTTACATTTTTAAGATATCATTTTTCGTTTTTGATATCGTGCAGATAAAAACCGTGAAATCGGACAAAGTAAACCTATTTACAGACTACTGTGTGAAGAGTAGAATAATAATATAATCAAGGCTAAAACAATAACATAATAGCCTACAAAATGGGTATACTAAAAGAATGATAAAGTCAAAGAGTTGAAAATTATTTAATAGGTATATCATTACTTCGGAGATAAACTGTGTTGTTATTCTAGTCAGCTTTTTAGTAGAGCAGACTGAATGTCGGTTGAACACATTTCGTGTTTTATATTTACATATATTTCGACAAGAAATTCAGTGGGTCCCAATTATTTTCACAATATGTATTGTTTACTAATAATCTAACTGTCAAAACTTTTTTTTAATATACATGAATTGTTGGTTTTTGTAACATTCTGATAACAAATTTTCTATGACATACCTAATGTCTTATATCTCCAACATGCCTCTATAAATAGTAGGTCTAATGTGAGTGTTAAATGGTGTTGTTTAACGTTTAACTTCTAAGTTTATTAAACATTGAACATAGTGTTTTTTTTTTAAAATCAACTTATATTGTGACATCACTATACATGGTATAGAATACCCCTGCAAAGGTCTCGATGAGCCGATTTTAAAAATATAACCTTTATAAAACTGCACTGTCTACATAGTTTACCTTCCAGATAGATATCCGTAAATATTAAATTTAGTCTTTATAATATAGGTACATACCTAACATAGACACAACTAATAAGTTTCTTGAATTAATTTAGGCCAGTGCATGATATTTATTTAAAAAAACTGAAGTTTATAAAATTCTCAGTGCTACATCAGTTTGACAATGTTTATCAGTACCTCTGGTAATTATAGATAGCGCATTTTTCTATAAATTCAAGGGATAACCTACAAAATAAACAGTTATTCATATAAAATTGTACTAGGGTCAAGAAATTTGGAAATAAACATAACCTCAACAAATAATAGTATTTTTATTATCTGTAACGTTTTTCGGTAACAATCGTTGAATTTACACACATACTTCCGATTCATTAAAGTGGCAGTTTTATTCAAACCTAATTTTTAATACAATTTACAATTAAAATTGTCTTATCTTGATTTTTATAATTTGACAGCTTGATTGTTAAGAAGATCGAATATGAAGTAGGTAGAGACGGAATAAGGACTATTTTGTGATATGACAAGTGAAGGCACTTTTCGTGATATTTTAAATAATAATTTTATATTTGTAGATAGACGGAATGAAAATGTTTTTATATCATTTAAATCACACTATTTTAAAAACTGGCATTTATTTTCACCAAAACTAACTAGCTCGAGTTTGACATATGTCGCAAAAGAGTAACGCAAAAGTGCAGACAGGTTTAGTACCGTCATTGCTTCTCTATATCTATAATTTGAAAGATTGGTATGACTGTTTCACTACGTTTCAGGGTTTCAGGGATCTGTTATCGTTTGACATCTCTTTATAGCTACAGATTTTCAAGAACGCTTCTTACTCCTTCTGGCTCACTTATAAAAGCGCGCCACGAAAACGCGATTAGCCAGAGCGCAGTGGCGTACCCAAAAATAGATATTAACACGTATGAAAACAATAAAATTATTAAAATTGAATTAATATTTTTATGTTATTTATTTTAAAATAATCTGTTTTAATGAAATGTAACTGGGTGTTCACTGCACAAATGAACCAATGGAGACACCGCCCCTGATATTAATGTCTACTTCTTAGTAACTAGGATTTTTTAAGGACGAGTGGCGCCAAACACTTTATTAAAGGGTTCAACCACAATATAAGTTATTCCAAAAATCGGAAATCACCAATTTAACATCAGATTAATGATTATTTTAATGTAAATTACACTCTTGAATGTTTATCGGTATATAAAGAATACTGTGTAAGCATTAAGGTTTTTTATAAAGAAAACGAAAATATAGTTAATATTTGTATTAGGTTCTTGGAGTTGGCCCTAACTGGCGTAACATTCAAAGACATTACGACACCAGAACAGACTTTGGTAAGATATAAAATACTAAATTAACGGATTCTTAAAATAAAATTGTGATTTTTTTTGTAGAATCGTATAGCATTTTAAGCGCAAATATTGAAGGAAGTGAAGAAGACGTATCTTTTCATACCAGTATTAAGAAATCTGTTGGAAAATTTGATACTGAGAGCAAAATTTCGTCGAAAGTTAACGACCAATATGCCTGTAAATATTTATATGAGTACGAAATTAATTTAAAGTGTTATTTTACTGTCGGTTCGGGTCTTTTTAATTTCCCATTTTTAATCTTGGAACAAAGGGAACCTTACGGTGTTTCTATATCATTGTGGGCTTGATAATGAGATTTATAAACTATTCTTTTTGTTAGATTGATTTGTGGAAGTTCTCTTTATTTTTTCCTCTACCATTCATTTGTATCGTATACCTAATCGTATATGCCTGAAAATTGCCACAATAGCCGAAACTAGTCGCTGCTAATTTGTAATAAAACTTTATGGTACATATTTGAACTTGACCACATTTGAAATAATGGATATTCTTTTGTCAATCATGGAGTAGTTTCTCTAAAGAATTGTATCTTGGCATAACATACATCTAGTAATCAAGATTAATCTGTTGCAATTAAGACATATACATGGATCACTTGCTAAAGAACCGAATTCTGTGGAAAGTAAGCAACGCGTGGTCTCCAACGAAATCGATAATTTACCTGCAATCTTCCGTTTCTACGGATGTAAATGTCCTAAAGTTACTACAATAAACATGTTTAAACTCTTAAGAGAGTAGTTAATCTTCAACAACTTTCTATATCTTCGTACTCTTTGGCAAATTAACACCTAGATAACACTATGCATGTTAATTTTTTAGTAAGACCGGCCATCAATCATGCGGCAAGACAAAAAATTAAAGATGAATTGAGACGATTTATAATAGCTCCGGTAATGAACGGAATAGATGCCGAAGAACCAATTGAGTACTTGACCGAAATTAGACAGGTCTGCATATTGTTTATCAATATTAAAGTGAATGCATCTATAACCTCCTTCAAGGGAATTGAAGTTGCTAATCAAGTATACATCGCAGTTTGCGGGTAAGTATTTTATCTAAAAAGAGAAGTAGTAAGCGTATCTCCTTTGGTTGTTTTCTTTTTCGAGTTTTCTTCATCTGTAAGAGCCCTTTCTGACAAGACGATTTCGTCCATACGGAAAAAATTCGTACGGACTTTTTCAGTGCGTCGTTGATAGTAAACTAATAAAATTAACTGCAGCTTTCATACTGGACGGAGACGGATTTTTTCCGTATGGTCGATTTGAAGACAGCCATGTCAACGACTGAATTGTACGGTACCGTACCGTCGCCGTCTATCAGTGGCATATGTAACTTTATGCAAGCTTTCATATATGACGATTTTTAGCCGTCTGCCGTCCGTTATTGCGTGCCGTTTGGTTTTTATTTATGATAAATAAAAACCAAACGGCACGCAATAACGGACGACAGATGGCTAAAAATTGAATTTTTATATATTTTTTCAGTATTGTGAAAAATAATTACGGTTGCGTGAATAAAATCAGTAATTTTGACAAAGATTTAATGCTATTGGTTATTTTCGGATTAAGAGGATTCAAACACGAATTGGAAAGTCAAATTGCTTTGAAATGTGCAATAAAGTGTTATCAAAAATTGACAAATATGGAACATATTTTAGGAGTAGCTGCAGCTATTACAACAGGTATCTACACAATCTTGATTCAGCGGACCATGTTCTTATTTATTACCTGTCAAATACATATTATCTTCTTTGATTTTCAAATTACACAGCCCCACAAATAAAAAAAAGTGTTCAGACTTGGCGGTCGGACATATGTACTCCCATGTATTTTTTGACGCTGAATCCGATCCCGAGCTCAGAAATGGCCCTTCACGTCTGGAATTGGCCCCAGGGGCCAAAGATGTCCTCTATATTGCATGATAGGTGGCCCGGTAGGGGCCGGAAAATCGTGTTTCGGACGTCGTAATGGCATCAGTGGTATTTTTATGTACTTTTGAATTCTGAAATGAATACCTTGCTCAAAAAGTTTATGGACAACTGAAATTTCACGTTTGGGACCGGAAAATTGCCCCTCAGCGGCCGAAAATCGTATTTCGGACATCGCAATGGCATTGGTGTTATGTTTATGTACTTTTGAATTCTGGAATGAATAACGTGCTCGAAAAGTTTATGGCCAACTGGAATTCCCCGTTTGGGACCGGGAAAATTACCCCTTAGGGGCCGGAAAATCGTGCTTCGGTCGTTGCAGTCACTACAGTGGTATTTTATGTCCTTATTTATGTCCTAGTTCTCGAACTCAGACTGTGCTCGAAATGTTTATGGCCAACTGGAATTCCCCCTTTGGGACCGGGAAAACGACCCCTTAAGGGCCAGAAAATCGTGTTTGGGACGTAGTAATTAAGTGGTATTCTCATGAAAATTGAGTGAAGTCAATGTTCTTCAACTTTGCGAATAGATTTGACGTCGAGAAGGTTTCATCACGCTCGGTTACGGCCTAAATTCAAGAATTACTCCTATGTGATAGTTTTCCACGGTATCCAATAGATCCCGAATGCCTTATCCACCGATTCTAATGCGTCTATCCTTTACGCATGTATTCCTCTATACTCGATTGTCAAGTATAAAGAGTAGTTTAAACGATACAGTATAGAGTCCCCGACTTTACTTCCTCATACGGAAGTATATACAGTGAGGTATACGGAGATCTCTAATAAGACACAGTAGTCTCGATTGTGTGAGGAAAACCCTCTCAGATTACGTTTAGGCCGGATTTCCGGTACACCAGGTCTCCGGAGGTACGTTTCCGTGATGGAATTTGGATTCCGCGTGCCTACAAACCCCCATGACGATTTTCGGTTTGTCTTTGGCGATTGTGTCTAGAAAACCCTCGGAGATGACGTTTCGGTGCACTAGGTGTTCGGGGATCGTTTTCGACGTGAAATTCGGATCAAGGGCCCCAAAATATGCCTCTACAAGGTTTTTCGGCTTGTTTTTAGCAATCTTGGCAAGAAACTTCTCGGAGATGACGTCCACGTGCCGGTTCCAGCGCAACAGGTGTCCAGGGGGTGTTCGCCGATGTTATATTTGAATGCAGCAACTCAAAAAACCCGGAGCGCCAAGTTTCTCTTCTTACCCGTGTGAATTTTGGGATAGTCCCCGTAGATAACGTTCATCAGCGTTCCTGAGCTCCAGGTCGTCTGTAGTTCAATTTGAACATCATAATCGTGATCACCGACCTCGAAAACACTCAGGAACTCGATTTGGGCCAGTCCTGACTCTTCCACCTTTCAGGCCATATAGAGGCCATTTTTGGCACCTGGGGCCAATTCCAGACGTGGAGGGTCATTTCTGAGCTCGGGATCGGATTCAGCGTCGAAAAATACATGGGAATACATATGTCTGACCGCAAGTCTGAACAATTATTTTTTTTTGTGGGACTGTGTTATTGGTTAATTTTCAGGAAAATGCTACTGCGGTGCTTTTGGCCACGCCCTAAGAAGAGAATATACAGTGATAGGTTTAATTGTTAACAAAGCAGCCAGGCTAATGGTGGCCTATCCGAATAAGGTGACTTGTGACAGAGAAACGTTTTTGCACAGCAAACTTGAATCACGAAATTTTATTTTACAAGAATACATATCGTTGAAAGGCATTATTAATCCTGGACCGATATACGAATTTAAAGGAATTCATAAGTATGTAAAACAGTAAATATTTTTTCTCATGTAGGTGATAATAGGTAACAAAAGAAAACGAATACGTTTCGGTAAATCGTTTGTTGTATGGTTAGATTAGACAGGACCATATTAGGTTTCCTGTTGTAATAACATTCATTCATCTATGCATGTGTAGATAAGAAAGATATGAAAGTTTTCTATATTTTACCGGTTTGCTAATAGACCATCAGATAGTGACCGAGTTAGGTGCCCCATCGATGTTAAGTAGAATAAAAAAAAATTACGAGTGGCTCTTGGGGATAACACTGGAAAATTCGAAAATTAGAATGCACGAAGCATTTGTTATTTCTCGCAGACTATTCATCTTTATCTCTGTCGGTTATAAGCAAGTTTGCTTAGGTTTGGCCTACTACACACCGGTCTCTTGGGTCTATTGTATTCCGCCTCTGCTTCTCCCGTATTGAGATACTATCTTTGGAATAGTCTCGTGTCTTTGATTAGTTTCAATAAGTTCCCTACCAAGTGTTCCTGGGACATTCGTATCGGGTCTGGGCCGAAAAGGATGAAACGTCGCCTAGTTAGAGCTTCGCATTCGAAAATCAGATGGTATGCGGTTCCTTTCTCTTTCATGCAGGGTCTACACGTAGTGGGATCATTGTGTAATTCCATCACATAAAGGTGAATGGTAGTTCTAATCCCTCTTTGGCAAGTTCATCGGACTTTTCATTTCCTTGGATACCTTTGTGCCCTGATACACACGCTAGTTTTACCTTGTTGTGGGTTGCCAGATTATTTAGTATTCCAATGCAGGTTTAGACAAGCTTTGACTTGATTTTGTTTGAATCAAGAGCCTTTAAGGCTGCTTGGCTCTCTGAGAGAATAAGGATGGCTTGTTTTTTGTACTTCCTTCTTAACTATTCCCCTCACCCAAGCCAGTTTGCAGGAAGAAGCTATAGACTACAGACCATTCTTAACACATAAAAAACTCAAGGCAGCCATGCCGTGCTACTATGCAGTTTCTAATTGCGTTATTTAAACGATGTAACCTATCAAGTGAATAATTTTCTGAACAAGTTAATGTTGATATATAGGAATCCCGATACCCGTTAATTTTTGTACCCGGGTACCCGACTTCAATACCCGGGTATTACCCATTACCCGTTAACGTACCCGTTACCCATTAACGCTGCAAATGCTCGTTGAGACCCGTTAACACCCGTTGAGACCCGTTAAGACCCGCTAAGACCCGTTAAACTCCGTCGTAAAAACTACCACGAATTTGTCTGCTGATGTCTGAAAGTGAAATTATTGGTCCTCTCACCAAATATGCATTCGCCCAGCATGCAATAGAAAACTGAAATGGAATGTGAGGGGAAGGAAGTTTTTACGATTTACGTTGCACTCCCAGCGCATTCGCTACTTATTCGGCAGTTTTGTCGCATTATTTGTGCCGGTTATATTAATTTGTGTAATTTATTATGGTGCGGGCTAAAAGGTCTTTGGTGTGGTATCACTTCACAAAAAAAACATTCGTCGGCGAACACGAAAGTGAAATTAAAGTGCAGTGCAAGTATTGCGACGGTACTTTGCATTATGACGGATCGACGAGCTCTATGATGAAACATTTACGATCGCAGCACAAAAATCTTCAACTGCAGGATGTTGACATCGAGAACGCAGGGCCTTCAGGCTCATCCCTTTCTACACCTAAAAGGCAAAAACTCACTGATATGGGGATAACTACTGGACGGCCGTGTAACAACACTCGAAAAGGTCAGATAACAGACAAGTTGGTATCAGTAATCATTGAAAACAATTTACCCATTCATTTCTCTGAGTCAGAATCGTTTCGTGAGTTCATGAAATTTGTGGAACCAAACTATAAATGCCCTTGTGCAGAAACCATTAGGAATATTACTGAATCAAAATTTAATAATGTACAAAATTAAATCAGGAAAGAAATGGAATCTGTTCGATATGTTGCTATTACTACGGATGCATGGACGTCTATTTCAAACGATGCATTTCTTGCTGTTACTGCCTCTTACTTTAACAAAAATTGGGAACTCAGAACGCCGGTTTTAGCAACTGTAAAGTTACAGCAACGACATACTGCTCAGTACCTGGCAGAAGAAATTGAACATGTAGTTACTGAATGGAATATTTCGGACAAAATATCTGCGATAGTACACGATAACGGTGCAAACATTGCCCACGTGGCAGAAATAGTTAACACTGAATATACAGATGTTTCTTGTGCAGCACATACATTGCAATTAGTGATCAATAAAGCAATGGGTACAGATAAGACTGATTGGCAGGCCCCAATTTCTAAGTTAGTGAATGCTGCCAGTAGACTTGTGGGCCACTTTAGCCACAGTGAATTAGCTAGTTCCGAACTGAAGAAGAAACAAAAACATTTTGAATCCGCCAAAGATGAAACGGGAGTTGAAGAAGAACCCTTGTCACTTATACAGTACTGTCGCACACGATGGAATTCTATATACCACATGCTGGAAAGACTACATAAATTGAGGTAAATTTTGTTTAAACTTTACAGAGTAAATGAAAATTATAATAAACATTTTTTTCTTCTGTTTAATTTAGATGGTCCGTGCGTGCTGTACTTGGTGATAGTAACGTAACAAAACGATCCGCAATGCACTTAGACCTGAAGGACGAAATGTGGTCGCTTATGGAAGAAATTTTACCTACGCTTAACCTTCTAAAAATCGCGAATACATTAGTTTGTGGAGAAAAGTATGTTACCATATCGGATGTTTTAAGTATTGTAGTGGCACTTTTTGACAAATTTTCAAACGACTCTGAAGACGACAGCGCTGTTTTAAAAGACTTTAAAAATGCTTTAATAACCGGATTAAATACACGTTTTATAAACAAAATTGAGGAAAGTAATAACCTATATCTGAAGGCCATGGCAGTTGATCCGAGATTTAAAGATATCAATTTTTTTCGTCACTTTTGAGTTGCGTCAAAAAATGTATGCTGATATTCGCGAAGAAATTAAATCTAATAAAAATCGGGAACAGCCACATTTAGACCCAGAATACAAGAATGCAGAAGTCGGGGAAGAGGAGAAAGAAAGAAAAACAGCGGTGTGAAGAAAAAATTAAGACCAACAAAAAAGAACTTCAGTAATTATTTCGTAATTTTTAATTATTAATGCAGTTGAATTACTAATTTAATATGTACTTTCGCTTATTTGGGTTCTAGTTCAGAGAGTGAAGAGCAGGTACAGGATGATGAATACGAGCGGTTTCTTGCGGCAAAGAAAATTAAAAGGAGCGACGATCCTATTTCGTGGTGGCAAGTGAATGAAAAGAAATTTCCGGCTACAGCTTTTGTAGCCAAACGATATTTGAGAATACCTGCCACTTCAGTTGCGAGTGAGCGTCAGTTTTCCGCCGCGGGTCGAATCGTTACCAAAAACAGAGCTCGTTTAAATCCCGAATTTTCTACAAAACTACTTTTTGTTAACAGGAATCGAGTGTATGCAGAATGCAAATAACATTACTAGGGCATTTCTTACATTCTTACTTCTTAGATTTGTTTGTTTTGTGTATACTGTATAGATGTAGAATATTATATTTACGTTTGTGACTTCATGGATATTAAATATTTATTTTCAATGATTGCGGAAATTATTACCCCGAATTAAAAACAAATGAAGCAGGTCTAAAGCTATATAGATAAAAAAAGATAGAGGAGTTTAACGGGTCTTAAATTCTTAAATAATTATTAAAGGGCCTTAACGGGCTAACGGTTCTTAACGGGTTCCAACGGGTTCTAACGGGTAACAGGTAGCAAAATGTATAACCCGGACCCGTGGGCGTAACGGGTACCCGGGTACTCGGGTACTCGTCGTCATTCCTAGTTGATAATGTTAATGTTAATAATTAACGTACTTTGTGATATTCATTGTTACCTATAATAGTTTGTAATGTTTATGAAATCATATTAAAGTAATGTGAACTTTTAAACGGGAGCATCAAACCTCATGTTATATTATCAGCGACACAAGAAATGCACAGAAGGTGATTATAGGAATCACACTACAACTTAACAGTCTGCCATGTTTTGGCCTCAGGGCTATATTTAAGTGGTATAGATAATCGGGTTTTGAACTGTAACGCCCTTTATGCTAGAAATATGAAGGATCATAGTAGCTGTGATAAACAAAGCTTGGTTGTGATATGAATTACACTCCGGTATCTGTGCGTCACTGAGTCACCCGTTGACAATGACACCGGTTGATTTAAACAAAATGGCCAACTTCTGGTTTTACCTGAAATGACATTAAGTTTGATTTTTAAATTGATATTCGTTTTTGGAATCTATTCTTCAAATTACATATCACAGTGTTGCTAAATTTTTATTTTTAATTATATAAATAAAAAACTTTCGGTAGAACGGTATGAATTGAAAAATATTGTTCTAATAGTCTCTAATAACGATTGATTAGATTGTTATTAACATTTGCTATCTAATGGCGAAATGGCCCTCAATAGATACCATTAAAAAAAGTATGAAAAACAGGTTTTAGAATTATCTGAAGGATTTATTTTTAACTTAGCTTTGTTGGGAGTTCTCAAAACTATTAGATCATTATTTTTTAGTTCTTGGCTTTCTTCTGGTACTTATTAAAAAAAATAGAGACAAAAAAAATGTTTGGAAATATTTTAATTTGGCAACACTGTCAAAAAATGTAATTTGAACCATAGATTCCAAATAAAATAAAATATAACGTGTGATCTATTTAAAAAAGCAAACTAATTCATTTTCGGTAAAACCGAAAGTCGGCCATTTTGTTTAAATATAACTAACTGTCAATTAGAAACTGTCTAATACTCGTATGTGTTTCAAATTGAATCCAAATCACTTGATAAATAAAAGAGATATTAACGTGGCCCTATCACGCGGTATAAACCTCAATGTGTACAGTGACTTGTTTTAAATTTTAATTGAAAGATTTCAGGACCAATACAGAAAAGTAAATCCTCTACCACTCTTAGGAAGAGAACAAGAGATAGATTTGTTTATGACCTTATTCAGTAGAGCCCGAACTCTGTCGAAATCCAAGTCAAAGGATTTATTTTTTAATACGCTAATATTTCAAGGAGCTTTCAGGCAAGGGAAGACGAGATTACTGGAAGAAATTTTGTTCTTAACCGATCAAACAGTTGCCAGTCAGAGATATTCGTTTTCTGCTTTTGATTATGACGTAAGAATTTTTGTTTTGCTTTATTACTACAGGGTTTTCAACAATACCGGTATCCCACGTGACTAACGAGACTAAATTGAGGTCATCGGTTGGCTAAAAGTAAGATTAATAACTTTAATAGTAATCCTAAAATAATGTCACTGACAAAGTTGACAGAACTGGTACTTAAATTGTCATAAAAGTCATTAGGAACATCAATTTTCTTGTTTTACCAAATCACGTGAGATACGTGTATTCACAGGCCTGCGTTTAAATACTCTGTAAAATGTGAATTGAACTTTTCAACTGAAATTGGGTATTTCAGTGACGCTGATTTCAAATCTGCTTTTAGTTTTTTCTAAACAAAATACTATAAGAATGCAAAAAGTAAAAATATATTTATAGATACTAAGGATAAAAAAGAAAATAATAAACCAAAAGAACAAACAATAAAACCGGAGAAGTAGTTAAAAAATAACATACATTTTTCTTTATTTTCTTGAAAAATCTTTCTCTCTTTCCGGAAAAGCTTCTTTTTGTTGTTTTTCGTGCATATTCTGCGGTAGAACGGTCCCTTTTAAGCATCTAACAGTAGTCGGCCATCATTTTGATATTCCAGCGCCCTTGATATTGCCGTTCCATCTCTTTTATGTCCTGGTGAAAGTGCTCCCCTTGCTCTCCACTGACATCGCCAAGATTTTCCGGAAAATAGTCAAGATGAGCATGTAGAAAATGAATTTTTAAGCTCATCTTACAGCCTAACTTTCTAAATTTGTCCAACATGTTTTCAACAATACTTTCAAATTCAGGGTCTTTGTAGTTTCCTAGAAACTTATTTATAACTTGTTTAAAAGCTGTCCATGCTTCTTTTTCGTCTTCCTGAATAACCGTCTCAATTTCATTAGTTTTCATCAACCTTCTTATTTGTGGCCCAACAAAGATGCCTTCTTTTAATTTAGCTTCAGAGAGACCCGGAAATGTTTCACACAAGTACTTAAAGCAACCACCATTTTTGTCTAGAGCTTTGACAAATTGTTTCATCAGCCCCAATTTTATATGTAGAGGGGGTAATAAAATTTTCTCGGAATCAACTAGGCTTTCCCGAATTACGTTTTTGGAGCCAGGTGTTAAATTTTTTCTTGGTGGCCAGTTTTTTTTTGGTCCAGTGGTCATCTCTTGCTCTACTGTCCCACTCAAATAGGAAACATGAATATTTCGTATATCCGGATTGTTGATCTAAAAGCAACCCTAAAATTTTATGGTCACCACATAGAATCCAGTTATGTTGTCCGTAGTTTATTCTTAAAAGCAGTACCTCAAGATTTTCGTAATTTTCTTTTAGCTGAGTAAAATGACCAACAGGAACAGATGCATATAAATTGCCATTATGAAATAGAACAGCTTTAAGACTTCTCTTTGAAGAGTCTATAAAAAGTCTCCACTCGGCAGGATTGTATTCAGGAGCACCTAGGTGAATAAGCAAGTTAGATACATTTTGACAATATACAAGTGAACCAGCTGTGGCAAAGTAATTGACAAATTCAGCCTCACGATTTCTATACCAATAAAATGTAGTACCTGGAGCAAGTAATTTTTTTTCTTTAAGCCTTGATCCTAAAACCTCAGAGAGGTCTTTTGGAAGTCCCAAATCCCTGACTAGAGAAAATAGCTGCGGTTCACGGGTTCCTGAGGTAGATGGCTCAAAAATGTCAATTTCTGAATCTTTGAAGATTCTGATTCGATAGACTGTAATACTTTAGGTGTAATACTTTCAGTGTCATGTGGAACTGGTATTATTGCAGACTAAAGATTAGGATAGTTAATATACTTTAGAGATTTTGTGTTATGACCTTTAATATCACAAAGACAAAAATAGCAGTCGTCAATGTGATTTTTAGGTTCTCTCCAGACCATTGGTATTCCCAACGGTAGGGCTTTTCTTGTTCCTTTAAACCAATGCCTTCTTCGCAAATCTTGCAGATAACATGTGGCGCCCAAGGTTTATCTTGATCTCCAAGTCTGACTTTAAAATATGCAAAATATGCATTTTTTACGAAATCAGTAATGTTTCTTTTAAACTTATTCACTATAAAGTGTTCACAAATTCAAACACCTACTAGACATTTTTTTAATAGAAAGTGCACAACGAAACACCGATAGAATTCGATAGACAATGCCTGTCTCAATAAATATATCGCCCTTTTTCCAGAATAAATCGAGTCTCGGGGCATCCCCAACAATATTCTAGTAAGTACCGGTAAATCCCCCTACAATTGCGCAAATTAAAACGAGGTTTTAACGCGTCTCAACGTTTTGAACAAAAATAAGGAATTTAAATTAATTTGTTTGTGATGTTCAGGGATAATACCCTTTATACTAGTTTACACAAAAAGTTTACGTGATAGAATAAAAAGGGGGTTATTTTGGCTATGTAGAAGTTGTAAATAGGTAAAAAAAAAATAAATAAAATGGCCAGATCACAAAATTTTCGCGGGCCTGTGATTATTAAAGACTCTACATATAATTAGTACAACAGTAATAACTTAAGTACTATACGAGTAAGTATGTTTGTAAATTTGTAAAACTAAAGAGGCGTTAACAAAATTTTCATAGCCCTTTTAGTTCTTAAGATACAGGGCATTTTTGAATATGTTGCATTTTGGGACCCCCTCGTATCTCCGTTATCCTTCAACTTATCGAAAAGGTAAAATAATATTCTTATAGATTTTTTCCGTAGAATGCAATGATGTAGATAATTTTTGTATTTACTATTTTTGATTTATAAAGCAAACTTATGTTTTTTTAATTGGAACCCTGTATATTTATAGACTATAAAAGTTGTCTTTTTTTACCTTTTTAAAAATATAATAGTCTGGACTTTTTCTCAGAAACACGCAAATAAATGACAATTTAACAGTAGAACATGGATATTGTTTATCACAAGAAATAAATGTCAAATATTTATCTACTCATCGGTTTTTGGATCGAGTTTTGGTTTATAAAGCAGTTTATCTTCGTTCTTTTGGTATTTTTATTAATTGATATTTATCAATTATGAAAAATATGCAATATTTTTCAAATTTTTTGGTAACTGCAAAAAATGCTGATTTTTGTTAATTTTTCTAGGTTCCGGACCTTGTCCGAAATTGCAAATTTACCAGATTGTTAAGAAATATAATATTAACATTTGCAACTAATTTTCAAAACTTTTGCATTTTTTTTGACAAAATTAGAGGAAAATAAAATATTATTTTGGTATTTTTACAAAAAAAAAATATTTCCGTGCAAAATAAAAGGTTGCAAATTGGAATAGCTGTTCCAAAAACTTGTATGAGTTGTGTCATCGGTTTGTAGCACTTTTGCAATTTTATTGACTATGATATAAACAAAAACGCTATTTTAGAAAAAAAAAATCATGTTCTGAACTTTCAAAAAAGTTGCAAATCTGATATAATGTTGAAAATAATACAATAAATATATATATTGATTCAAGTTTGCAACACTTTTGCAATTTTTTTTGTCAATATTATAAACAAAAGCGCCATTTTGGTATAAACAGGGCCGCTGAGAGCCAAATTGGGCCCCGGGATAATTTTCCAGGCCGGGCCCCGCAACAATTTTATAAAAAAATTAAGCCCTTTCAATATCACATTTCTAAAATAAAGGTCGTCAAGCTAAAACTTCTCCTCTTTAGTGAAATCTCTAAACAAAAAAAATTCTTCAAGCAAAAAATTCTCCTCTCCTCCTCTTTAGTGAAATCTAAAAAAAAAGGTCCTCTCTCTTGTGCTCTTGTGGCGAACTTCTAAAAAAAAAATAAAAGACGTCGTGCTGCCAGGCCCCCCTTATGCCACTGCTGGACCCCCACTTGAGCCCGGGCCCCGGGAATTTGTCCCGGCTACTTCCCCTCTCGTCGGCCCTGGGTATAAATTAACTAGTTCCGGACCTTGGAAATGGTTGCAAATTTAAACTTAGTGTTATTTAAACTAGCCCATTATTATTGCAAAGTTAAAAAACATTTGTAATTTAGAGCGTTATCCATGTACTAAAATTGACTTAAAAGTAATTCCAAGTTTTCAGGCCTATTTTTTAATATTTTTTATATGAAATTTGGCATGCATATTTATGGAGTCGTGCATAATGGGGCTACAGAGTCCAAATTTTGATATATATAAAAAAGCATTTTTAATATATCAACAGAACAAAATTTTAGAAAAACGAGTCTGTAGCCGTATTTTTACTCAAAAAATATAATGTTTATTTTAACTATTTTTGTTTCTACAAAGCCTATTTTTTTGTAAACCTGGAATTATTGACATTCGAAAAATGTATTTAGATACTGACCATATCCCCAGGATCGGCTTGCCTTTTAATTAAACTTTACCCAGACATGTTAAATTTTCGTAACGTTTCTGCAGAAATGATGTTTCTCATACGCTTACTTGCATATTATGTAAAAACTACTAAAAATTATTTTAAATTAAGTATAGATATTTATTAAACTGAAACATAATTTCATAAACATATTATTAAAAATTTCTACAAAAATATACCTATAGTAAAACCAAAAAAATTTAAAACATAAACTTATATCAGTCTTAAATATATTTTGGCAGAAGGCAAAATAATCACAAGGGTGATTAACTGTTGATCAAGCGTGTAAAAACTAGTCGAAACAGTGTGTAAAAACTAGTTGAAGCGCGTTAAAAATGCAAATTATGCCCCGATCGACCGGTGGATGAGAAATACTGTGATGTTTGTTTATTTTAAAACAACAGTTTATTTATTAATATTTTATTAAAACACTTATTTATTTTAAACAATACTATTCTAATTTATATATATTTCGAATGACTTCAAACTGTTCACTATTTATATTCACCACTGTCTATCTACTAATAATTTCCCGCTTGGTCCTCCACCAATATTTATATACAAATTTAAAAGTTTGGCGAGGATGCTAGAAAGTTCACCAATTCTCACCAATACACTAGAAACATTATCCCGTTCTTTCTCGAATAGTC